AAAGACTTAAGCGACGAACTTGAGCAACGTTTCAAACCTAAAGGTAGATTCTAGGTAAGAAATATGGAAAAATCAAGTTTTGTTTTCATATTTCGTTGCTTGTGACATTCAAAAATATTTTGCTTTATTTTTTAAAATGCAAATTATTTTCAAATCTATAGAACAGATTCAGCTTAACGTCAAATTTTAGACGCATTTTTCTTGAAGCTACTTTTTTCGATACAATCGACCCGAAATCTCAAGTTCTAATCAGTCGAATTTCTTAAAATTTTGCAGGAATGTTACTCAAATATTTTTCAATCGTGTAATCTAACAAAAACTTAAAATTTTTAATTTGTAATTTTTTTGAATTTTTTTTTTTTTACAAAATTCGAGAAAGTCAACCTTTAACTTTGATTACTGCGATTTTATTAATTTTTCTTCATATTTTATGGTTCATACGATATTAGAACTCGTCTATACACATTTCTAAAAAATAAAAAAATGTTCGTAGTTCAATAAGCTCTCGTTATTTAATATATTAGACCAGCACAAGGGCTCGTAACGATAAGAACGCAATTTTTTTCACCTCCGCAACTTCAGAGACTCAAAGTTTTTGCTTTTTTTCTTGAAATTCATAAATCTTAAAAAAGTAAAAATAAGGAACTTTTTTTATCAATTCCCAGAAAACGCTGGGAATTTGAGGCTCTAGATTATGATAAACTCTTAACTGGCACATTAAGAAATGATCTCAATATTTAAATGCGATTGGCCGTAAAAAGACTCTTTAAGCGCCCTTGCCTCATTATTGTGATTAAGGTTTGGTAGGCAAATCATATTAATCAATGACGCTATCTATTGGCCTTTAAACCAGGGAGATTTGATTAAGGCAAATGATCGAAAATGCTTGAAATACCATTGAAATCGAATATCAGAGATTTCTGCTTATACGGAAATATATAATACGTATATGTATATAAAATATGTGAAATAATAAAATCAACGCCTTCATATTAAACAACGTATTAGTTCATACATTCTTTTCATATTCTATATAAACTCAAAAACATTATAAAATTAGAATTAATTTCCGAATACGCTCAGCACTGACTTTGGCCATAAACTTGAGCTGCTGACAGCTGCTGGAATTTGCCACCAATAAATTCCAGCGATAATTAATTTCCACTTTTTTCACACAAACATTATATTGAATTTCGACGACACGACCAACGTGCAAATGGCAAACCAAATGTAAGAAATATAAAAATTAAAATCATGAAAAAATTAAAAATAAATGAACGATGAAAAAAAAAAACGGGAAAACATTGTAAACTTGCGAACAGTAGTAATTCGATATGGCAGCATCGCACCAGTTAGCTGTAATATATCAATGGACAACCGGTGTTTGGCAGCAAAGTTGAAGGAGTGCCACGCCAGCTGGCGCTCGGCAGCATGACGAAGCACAACACCACGCTATGTTGTTGTTGTTGGCACGCTGAGCGCAATTCAAGTTCAAGGCGCGCACATTGCCACCGAGCTGGTGGATATTAGTGCATTGCTATCAGGCCGTTTGATGCGCTGGGGGCCAACCCAAGCTGTGTGTGTGCGTGCAATTGCAGCAGCCACATACACACACACACACATATATGTACATAGGTGCAATAATCATAAACAATATTGCTGCACATTTGCACTTTGTTAGGCGAGTGYAACAGCCCGACAACAACAACAACGCCATAAAAAACAGTCAGCTACAGCAGCCATTCATCGCCATTTGCGTTTTTCATTTCAAATGCGGCACCTTCATGGTCGTCGGCTGCCCGGTCGGGAAGTGTTGCTGTGGAAATCGGATACAGTCGCCCATAGAGCGCTGCACTCCACCACACTGACTGCACCTTGGTTGCTGTTGCATGCTGTTGTTGCTGCTCTGCTTGAGTGCATCGTGCAATGTCTAGGGTGTGCAACAATCGTGCCGCTTACTTGTTGTTGCCCTGCTGCGGTTTCTTTGCCGTCTACAGGCTGGCAATTTAAGAATCACGGAACTGTAAGTATGTGCTTCAGCGCCGTTTAGGCAACAACCACAAAAAACTAAATCTATATATATGAGTCACGTGTGGCAAGTGTTTATGATGTTTGTGGTTCTACGCTGTTATGCGGTGTTGCAGGTGTCGCTTTGTGTGAAACAAGTGGCAACAGCGGCTACATTTTCTTATTTTTATGTTTTTGTGGAAATTCGCACCACTTTGGCTTTTAGAGCAGAAGATAAAAATTTGGAAAAAGTTAGCACAAAGATTGTTAAGTTTTGTTGAAATGTATTCAAGAATAACTAACTTTTTACAAAGATAACACTACCCAACAAATCTGAATTCAAAATTTGCTACTGATGTGCTGAGAGGTTTGTGAGGTATTTGGGGTGTCCTGATTACGAATTTGAGTTTAAAGAATTCCCTCACATACATCTTTTTTTGTTCATTTTAGTAAGTGGTGGTGGTTTGTCCCTACAACCCTTGACTGCAACACAAAACATTCTAGGAAACTATTTTATCGTCTACGTTAGGAAATTTTTTTTCATCATTTTCCTTTTCAACAAACCAAAATTAGCAAGAAACAGCCTTTGACATCACAGTTGCTGAATGACGTTAAACTAGTGTAACCAAAACTGTTAAACACGAAGTAAGAAGGCGCGAAATAACTAATAATTTTTTAATTTTGCAATCTGGTACTTGGGAGTAAGAGTTGATAAATTATAATTTTTTTGTTTTCACGGTCGGTCGGAGTACAGACATTTTTTTTTTATCGAAATTCGTGCTCAATTCTGTTTTCAATATATTTCTAGCCCGCTAGTTTCGGGTTTATTAAAAAATTTTGTTCGAAGAGTCGAAATGTTTTCATATTTTCAACAAGAACACTCTATAATTGAAAACAACAATTTATTTTGATATTTTTATATGCTTAATTTTAAATTAATTGTAATTGGAAACCTTGAAAAATATTGAAAATATATAGTATTGAAGAGAAAAAGCGATTTTTAATTATTATTTATTTTTAATATAATTCAGCTACTGACTTCATTTCTTTATTTAGTTTCTGATCAGTTATAGTTATATTAAATATTTTTTTTCTTTTTTAATCACACTTTTATTTAATATTGCTTTTCAATTAATTGCGAACACTCTATTTCTATTATTAATTAATGCCTACCCAATCATCTTAAGCTGTTTAAAAGGAAAAAAAAATCACAATCAGTCTCATATTTAGAAATTACTAATTATAAAAACTGCAATATTAAAGTGGTGTAAATTAGTTTTAATGCTTCGTCGAATCTTTCGCTTTCTGGCATTCTAATAATCATAATGTCACAGTTTTTACTTTCATATTATTATATTTTCCTTATCACTTTAAATTATTAATAAGTAATATTCCTTTTGCCAATAACTGCTTGTTAACCACGAATTTGCATGAGAGATTGTTTCTTTTTTTAAATTTTCGCCAAAGTAACAACAGGCTGGGAATTCTTATGTTAAGGAGGTGGGGAAATATAATGAAATACTTCCATACTGATCTGCTGAATAAAAAATTGACAATGTTTGTTTCGTATGTAAAGTCTAAGGAAGAAGAAGAAGAAGAAGAAAGTCCAAAGATTCAGCCCTTGGAGCAAAAGATTGCGCTTGTTATTCGAATGAGGCATTGGAAGGTAGACTCAATGGATGGTCCATCTGAAAAGTAGCCGCGGCCAACATTTGGAAGAGATAACCTTCAAAAAGTAAATGCCAAAGAATGTTCTTTCGAAAGATAATAAACATTCCCTAATAAATTTGAAGTTTTCTGATAAACCGATGGTGGCCCAGTTATGAGCAAGCTCCACTGAAGTCGAGCTATCCAGTAGTAGAAGACAAGAGCAGTGGGAATCACCGACGCGTTCTCATTCTACTGGCAGCGCGGCTAGAGTACTTTTTCTTGCAAATTCCGCTGTGGCCTGGCATCCTTACTAATCATGTCATTAAATGCAAGTGATAACGAGGTAATGAATTACTTAACTTTTTCTTTAAGATATTTTGATATTGAGGGCTTTAACCTTTCTAGGTAAGGTAGGTAAGGTAGGTTATAATTACTCTTTGAAAAAACTCCTGCGCTTTCTATTTTCACTAGCTTGGTGGGTTTTGTGAACTCCCAAATATTTAACCTTAATCTAGCAATCGGGGAACAAGAAGAAAAATATTTCAGATGTTTGCATACTGCTCCTGAAGTTGGCATCCAGTAAGTTTTTCAACCTTACAGCATGGACTCTTAGACGGTCCATAACTAAGAAGAGGCTACTGAGGACAACGACCTCACTGGGTCTCTTACGATTGATTTTGGACCAAAAGGATCTTGCGACAGCGCATTGCATTGATGAAGTTATGCATTCCTAAAACAGCCTTGAACGCATGGTTTTGAGTCCAAGGCTAATATCGTCGCGCTTTTTTAAGATTGGATAGTCACATTTCTGATGGAAGCTGCACTCCAAAGAAGTTTAGTTTTAAATTATTTAATTTTATTTTTGGCATTAAGAAGTCGATGTGGAAGTACTTATTGGCAATTTTGCAATAAGCCTATTCTAAATTTTGTTTTTTTTCATCAAATTCTCGGTACTAAAATATATTATATTATTCATTTAAGACTGAGTTTATTCTTTCAATGGTGGAGTGTGTATTGCACTGCTGCTGTATAAAAGTATTCTAAGAAATTTCAGAAAAGTGTTCTAAAAAATTTTAAAATTTTAGTGAGATGTGTGTTCAAAATTGACTGTTCGATTTAATTTAATATAAAACTTCATTATTTAAAAGAGTTTAGAAGGAACTGTACATGAGAAAATTAAAAAAAAAATTATTTAAATATATATTTTAAGCGTTGAAAGCAATTTTTTATTCTATAATATATACTCTTTTTCTTAAATAAAAAATAAAAAATAATTATGTTTTAATTTATTTTACTGAGCAATTTTGTACTCCTCATACATACATACATATATAAGGACTCACCTGTATTTTGCGCATCGATGCGTGCGTGATAGCCCAAAAGACTGATGATCACAAGGATCAGTTGTGTGCGTATGTGGGGCATTTAATTGCGTAACACTGATAACCTTGAATTAGTTATTAACAAAAAAAAATTTTTTTTTGAAATTTTCAAAAATTTCAAACCTTGATAAAAATGAGTTTCACTGAAAGTTGCTTGTTCGTTTTTCAGATTTGAAAAACACTAAAAAAATAAAAAAATAATTATTTAATAAAACACAAACAAAAATTTAAAAAATTATATTATAATCCACCGAAGTCCACTGAACGATCGAACAAGTTTTTAAAAAATTTTATGTGAAAAATTCTTTTCGTGCGTATAAAAAATATGTATGCAAATAAGTTTACATGTCTGTTATAAAAAAAAATATGTGCAGATATTTGTAATTTTTTTTATTTCCTATTCTTGTTCTTGTTCTTTGCACTACACAGTCGAAGCGCGCTACCGCAAATTCCGCGCCAACTTGTTTCCTGAATGAACTCTTTATTATTGTGGTTATTTTTACTCATTTTTTCTTTCAAATATTTTTTCTGTTCTTTTTTCGCACACACCTTCGTTCTGCAATTCTATAATTTAATATTTTTTGTTGTAATTTTTCTGTGTCTGCTGCGCATTCGCCAGCGAACAGGTGAAGTTGATGGCTGCAAAACCCGTAGTGGTAAGTATGTCACCGTTACATGTGGCGGCAGCAAAAGCAGCAAAAAAACGCCAACACTGAAAACACCAACAATTGCTGCAGCAGTAGCACCAACAACAAGAACAACGAAACAATCTGTGACGAGCAATTTCTGTGTTATTTTTGATGTTTCATATTTTGCGTTACTGCTTCTGCGCTTTCTGCGCCATTCAAGTGTTTGCGCCAACTTTCTTTACAGTTACTGCGATAAGTTGTGAGTTTTTAGTTTATTGTTTGGTTAAATATTAAAAAATATATTTATTTTCAATTTTTTTATTTTTTTATTCGTAAATGTTTTGAAAATTAAGAATATTCCTGGTTTGCAACGCTTCGGGCGTATGGTGTTTGTGAAAAATTATTTTTCTCAAAAAATTTCTCAAAAATAATTTTCTCAAAATTTTTTTTTTCACTTTTGAAATTTTTCGTTTTGGATTCAAACTTTGAATTAATTTTAAAAATGTAAATTTTTCCAGTTTTGCAAAGGCTTCAGGCGTATAGTTAATGAAGAATATTAAAATTTTTTTTTTGTTGTTATGAAATTTTTATTTAGAAAATTTTTATTTTTGAATTCAAATAATTTTGTTTTCCAAAAGCGTCAGACGCGTAGTGTTAATGAAAGTTATTGTAATCTTTTTAAAAACATTTTTTTTTTAACTTTTAATTTTTTTTTATTTGTACACTGCTTTATATTTGTGAAAAATATGTTTTTTTGGTCCTAAAGTGGGTTGAGATTTCAAAGTTAAATTATTTCCAGTTTTCATCATTTAATTTACCGTAACGCTTTTCCAAATATTTTGGTTTTTTGTTATTTTTTGATAAATTTTTAAACACAAATTTTKTTAAATAAAAAAAATTTAATTTAAATTATATTTTTATTRYRMTTATTACACTTTTMTAACTGGAAAATGCTTTCGTTACAATTTTCACACGCTAGTTTCTTTTTTCTTATGTTTTTCTGTGTTAAACTTTTCAATTGCGTCTGCGCATGCGCACCCGTTCATTTGCCTCGCTCAACTAAAGTCACTGCCGTAGCGCATACAACGCGTCAACTCCAACTTTTTGTAACTTTCGTTCAACCAAATTGACAACAACCGCGTTGTTGTTGTTGTGTTCGATTGCCGAAGCTTTGGTGTCTCTCGAAAGACCGTGCTGTTGCAACAGCTGTTAAAGCATACCGTGTAAACACCACTAACAATACGTCCACAGGAAAGCAGGAATAGCGACAAAACGAAACGGAAACGTTCAAACGGTAAACGGCGGTCAAAGTCGCGCTTAAGCGTTGCAGCCAACCGACACGTTCAGGTGGTAAAAGTCAACTGAAAGCTATTGGACACCTCCATAATAGTTGCGCTTAGAGTGTGGTGCGTGCAGAGCTTAGCGCTCAGCCGTGTGTTGGCTGTGGCCTTACGGTAAACTTGGCTTACAACGTCGAACATGGTTCAAATCTAACTGCGCGTGCTCACACTCTCACGCGCTCTCTTTGAAACAGCAAACATGTTGTCAACGCTTTTTCTCTCAATTTCATCAGCTTTGCTCAAACGCTTAGCGTTGCGCTCAGCGCGCTATTTCACCTGCTTAAAGCGCTTCTCAAGCTCTGTGCCTCAGCTGGCTTGCAGCGTGTGCATTTTCTTTTGCCTGCGGCTTCGTCTATTTTTATGTATGGCAAATCATTTTGTTTATTTCGCTTTTTTTCCTGCTACTCTTGAGACTTTTTCTCTTTACACACTGCGCCAATTCCGATTGCAATTCAACCGCAAATTCGACTGTTTTAATTTATTTTTATTGCTTCTTTGGCAATTTTGCTTTTTTTCCGATTTTTTTTTTTCAGTTTTTCTTTGCCACAAATGCTTTCTTCAGTTTCAGCTCTTTCAGCTTAGTAGTTTAGTAACAATATTAATTACGTTTGCTGGAAATTGTGTTAAGTGGTTTAATCCAATAATTCGCAAATGACGCTAAAATCGTTTTCACAGTTAACGCCGAGACGCTTTAGCGCCGTTTGCTTGCCGTTTGCTTGCCATTTGCTGGTTGTTTAGTTGTATATTGTGACTAATTTAGCGCCGAATGCACTCTTTGTGGTTGCATTAATATGGTTGGTATTAAATTTTAATCTATTGAAATTTAGCAGTATTGGGATGTGATAAATATTGGTTAAAAATTTGCAACAAGTGCATATATATATTATCGCAACATGTTGCACATACAAAATTGTATGCCAATGGATCTGATTAACACCTGCAGCTAATATAAAAAAACATGCACATATGTGAATAATATTGGTTAAATACTTGGTATATTACTAAGGAAAGAATATTTCGCATATGACAACATTTAAAATCCATTACATTCGTTTCCATTATGATAGATAAGGCAAGCAGTGCCTGACAGGTGTGGTAATTCTCAACTGAAAATTACTGAAATTGGACTTTAATTTTTCTATTTGCTCAATAACTATTGCTGATATTATATCGAAAATCGGTTAATCTTAAGATATGCGTCGGTTGCCATTTAAAAATAAAATTATCTATGACTTCGAAGTTATGACTTTCAAGAGTGATGTGGGTGCCTAGTCGCAAGTGCGACGACCGTTTGATTGATAACAGAAGATATTTCGTCTTCACCTCGTTCACTGCCAGACCCATTTGCTTTGCTTCCTTATCCAGTCTGAGCCAATGATACACCCTTGTAGAATATTGTACCTGATCGATTAAGTACTACAGCTCGTATTATTTTCTCCAGCAGCAGATTGAAAAAATCGCCCGAAAGGGAGTCTCGTCTTGTCTGAAACCTCGTTTGGTATCACAACGGCTCGAAGATGTCCATCCCGATTCTGATGGAGCTTTTGGTATTACTCGATGCCAGTATACACAGTCGTATTAGTTTTGCTTAGATACCAAGTTCAGACATCGCGGCATAAATAAATCAAAAGCAGCTTAGAAATCGATGAAGAGGTGGTGCGTGTCTACTCTCTTTTCACGGGTCATTTCCAAGATTGTGGATATCAGGTCAGTTGTTTTTTGTTTTTTGTGAGGTCTAAAGCTACACTGATAAGGTCCAATCAGTTTGTTGACGGTAGGCCCAATACGCCCGTTAGAACCTTGTGCGCGATGTCAAGGAGACTTTCGATAGTTGGTGCAGATTGTGGGGTTTCCCTTTTTGTGAAATGGGTAGAGCACACTTAAATTCCAATCGTTGAGTATAATTTGGGTCGACCATATTCAACTAAGAAACTGATGCATGCTCCTTATCAGCTTTTCGATGGGGCAATCCATCGGTCCCCCTCAATTTTTTGTTCTTCATATTGTTGATACTATACCGAAAATCGCTAAATCATGGCTTTTCCGATAAGTGTGATATGATTTCTTAAAAAAAAAAACACCCAATTTTCGCGTAATTTTTCCTCTAAATGGTGTTAAATTATAACTTCTTGGAGTCCATTCAATGTCACAATTTCTTGAAATAAATGTTGGCAAGATACACTTCGTTCAATTGCCGCCTTAAAAATTTGGTTATCATCAGTCCATACCGCTCTCCATTGACAGCAATTTCATTTCGAGAGAAGTACGACCCGATGATACCACCAGACCAAAAATCACACTCAACTGTCAATTTAGTTGGATGTAATGGTTGTTCATAAATAATTAGTTTATTTTCTGCTCACTCGAACCAACAGTTTTGTTTATTTGCTGCAAAACTCAGATGAAAGTGAGTCATTGTCGCAGAAAATCATTTATAAATGGCAAAATCAGCAAATTCACGACATCTACGGTGATACAATGGCTTTACTTCTGAGTGAGAACAACTTTATGTGGATCCTTCCTCAGTATCCTTTCCCAAAATCGGCCAGGTTGCGGCTTGAGACAATCCCAATTCTTGAGAACCACTTGGAATCGACAAATTGCGGTCCTCAGCCATACTTGCCTGACCGGCAGTAATACTTTCATTGATTCGAGCGATTCTTAGTCTTAAACGGCGCTTGAACATTACATATGAAAGAAAATGAATAATTTTTAAACGTTGCCATTGTGTACATTTTTCTATGACGAATTTGTAAACATTAGTGGATACAGTGAAAAAAATTGCAGAACATGACATATACAATTAAAAATAGCCGAAATAACACTTAAAAATTGGGAAACCCAATTGCAGTAACTTAAAATATTCAACTCAGCTAAAATATGGAAATAAACGCGAATATTTTTGGTCGATTATTTTTTACAACTTTTGACGTGGCTGATCTCAGAAACTGTGCTTTGATGAACTTAACTCATGTTTTAACGACGAAGCTTCATTAAAGACCAGTATTTATCGATGGTATGGTTAATCCAATCGAAGTCGTAGATCACTGAAGGTTGATGCGAAGTGCTTCGAC